TAGTATCCAGAAAACCATTATTTTAGGCCAATTAAACGGACAAATACTAGAAAAGAACAAGCAATCATAATTATTACAATTAATATTATACTCGTCCCGTATATAAAAAGATGGCCTCAATTCTGTCTTCAGACTAGCCTAAAGTCCTGAATTCCGTGAGATCAAGATAATGATGTCTCCTGAGGCCTGAACGGTTACTGAAGTGCAGATATAAAGCTCATTTCACAAATTGATCGGTTCTATAAGTCTACTTGAGGCCGAGGGATCGAGGCCGGGACTGCTCTTGCAAGGTCTCTTGTAATCTTCCTTTTGCTCTCGTTTTTAATCAGGGGTGTTCGGTTCAAATATAGCTTAATATAGGAGAGGCTTTATAGGGCCTACTGTGATATCGTGGATAATATTAGTTCCACCGAGATCTGGTAGTACTCATCATTCTGAGGCCTTTGTGTATTGTCAACTTCTTTAAAAAAGAAGCATGGCGCGGGTGCAAGCTTTTCTTAAATTTCATTTCTATTGCATTATCTTGGGTATAATATTAACTCAAGGCAAGGGTAGAGAAGAATTAAACTACTCCCCTTTAAAACTCGATAGTTCTACACTATACTGATCGATCTACATATCTCTCTTGATCGATAGATCATCGTATTAATCCAGCAGCCCCGGAGCATTTGTTCTAAAAACCAGATTTGATTGAAATTATACCGTATGAATTTCGCCTCTTGGGAGTTGGAAATTAAAATTTGATCGTTTGAACTTTGAAGATTAATGAAGAAACATCTCTACTTTTAGGCACGTGCAAAGCTGTTTAATTATCATTCTGGTGTTCGCGAGTATTAAAATAAACGTATGTTAAAATTGTAGAGCATTTCTTTCAATGATATGTTTGAAAGAAGCATCGCCAGACGCCAGAGGTATCCACATTCCACACAGACCCCACAATCTAACAGGACAACTATCTGGGAAATTGGCTTAAAATAGACAGACACTTTGACTTACAATAATATGGCAATAATATGGTAATATGCATAACCCATCCGGAGAGAAATACTTTAAATCCTTCTTACCGGCAATCGTTCACTACAATGTTTTACACTTTTTTACACTACACTTTTGGCTTTGCCTTTTTTTGGTGTATGGTGTAGTAAAATGTATAGCAAAAAAGGTACACTTTTTTACACAATTTTACACTTTTAATTACACTATAACCAAATTAATTTCTGAAAATCTTATTTTTTCCTATTATTTTCCAATCAGTCTTCACATAGTACATTTGCAAAGGTTAACCATACCTTTGGCGAGAAAAAAAAGTCACCTTTTAAGGCTTTTTAGGCTATATTACACTACAATTTTGCCTTTTTTTATGTATGGTGTAAGAAAGTGTAGAAGACCCCCCGTGATTATGCCATAAACATCAAACGTCTGAAGCGACGTTAAATCAACTATCAATATCTGAAAATTGTGGAGCACTTAACCTTAACTGTCTGCCAGAATGCTGACAACTTGTCGAAATGGCGAACACGCAAATACTGCACTTTCAGCTCCATAACCGTATCGGAGTTATTGAGCTGATGAAGCCGACACAAATTTTAAATCTTGACGGCAATTTCAATTAATCAACGACGGGAATGTCACTTGGTCATTTTAGGGATCTATTTTATGGTTTACAACACATTTTGGTCTAGATCGAGCATGAGCCGAATGTTGAAAATTTTCGTTTACTGTTTTAGCATATAAGGCAAAATGCATCTTTATAATTGCAACTGGCCAGTGTTCGATAGTCTTAATGGCACTTAATAAGGTTTTTAAAAATGTTTCATATCATCTCTAGAAGACTATATAGTTATTTTGTCACAGCACTGCTATAGAGTATAGATCTTTGATTTCGCTGTGAATTCTAACGGTAGGTGAGGTAACTGGATACCGATCGACCGTTGTCGAATTGTTCAGCATTTGATTTTGAATCATACAATTTCGCAATTATAAGATAAAACCGTATTCAAAACACATGATGTAATGTTAGTTAACTGCTTTTCACCATTATTATAACGTAATATTTCTTGAACTGACACAGCTATCATATCCGATCATGTTCTAGTATTATTAAACTGCTTTCGCCATTATTTGACAGGAATATTGGTATCATTACTAGAATCTACGTGGGCAAATTACTTCCATCAAGTCACTTTCAATTCAATGCTCTATACTCTATAGTTATTTAACGACAGTAGTCCTATTGTCTACCGAGAAGTCTTGGCAGTTATAGAGGGTTTTAACTGTTATCCGCTGGTTAACAATCCAAATTAAGGTCATTTTATTTATTTTTATTAGTCATCTTTAATTTGTTAATAACAAAGTTGATAAAAATGTTATCAAAATTGTTTGTCTTATAAACGAGTGAGCCGAGTTTAATTAATAAACATCTGTTGAGTCTTTATTTCACAATCGTTGTTTCTCTGTAGAAACTCTTTATGGTTAAAATTCCAAATAAAAGTCATTTTATTTTAAAATTAGACATCTTTAATTTGTTATCAAATTTTGTTTGTCTTATAAACAAGTAAGCCGAGTTTAATTAATCAAAATCTTCTGGGCCCTTCCCTATTTTACAATCGTTGTTTCTCTGCAGAAACTATTTACGTTAAGTGCTTGACAGATAAAGCTTTAATGACAGATAAAGCTTTAATATATAATATGATAAAGCTTTGTCGTGATCGTGAATATCCGGTATCTTGGTATCTCTATTGAAATTTGTAAAGCATCGTTTGTTTTATTGACGGGTGGTTCCAAACCCATTTCTCCCACCCGAAAATCAACATTTTTCGTTGTTGGACTGAATTCGTAAGAAGAAAAGTACACGAAACAGGTAACTTTTGCTGTACTTTTTAGAAGTAATGGATGTTTACACTTTATATGGCGAGTGGTTAGTTATGATAATGATAACGTCTGAACTAACAATGATGACCGTGTAGCCCCTAGGCACTGATAGAGCTTGTAACACTGGTAACTTTACATAATGCTCTGTCTGGGTCACGCCAAGGGTAACTGTTACCATGGTCACACCAATGAGTGAGCTAATTTTGTAGTCCCCGGAAACAGATGCACCAAAAAGTACCAAATGAATTAAAGATACCATAGACGTGAGGTTGAAATGGGTCGGTGTTCACCAAAAGCAGCTCTCAGCTCGAACGATGAGTCCTCAATATGTAAACTATCCATGCACCATTCATTTACTTAGGTTTATAGTTATACTCTATCACTATAGCAACGGTTCATTCATTCATTGCTATGGCTCCCTAACGTCTGTTCAACATGTGACCCCATATAACAAGACTCCCAGTTATCTAATCCCGTCTAACATGTCGAAACAGGGCTCGGATAGGATTCTCCTATTTCCTGTTTAAGAAACTTTTGTACGATTATATGGTGGGCCATCGCCCTTTCATTGTTCTAATAATACTGCATTTCATCTGAACACTGTGAATATTGAATAACCCTGGCCCTTATATTTTATGATATGAGAACTGAAGTGCTCAACTCTGGTTTGACGTTTGGTATTTGATATCTGTTTTATCGTACTGCTATTGAACTATAAGAGGTTGGATTTGGAATAACAATGATATTCTAGTTTGATCTGTTAAGTTACTGATTTTATTCTTGAACTGTAAAAATTACCACCGGAATTTGAGGGGGCCTTAACATAGAATTTTTGAATAAACAAAACCACGATTCAACCACGAACTCCGATTTATGGCAATTTTTACATTCCCCAAACTCTGCGGCAAATCGTACTTTGCTTTTTGGATTACAGTTTTAACTTTTAAAATCACATCAAGCTTGAGTTTAGTTTAGTTTCAACTTTCAGCCAATACTCGAGCATTAAGTTTAACCGTGGTGTTGTTTAATGGTTGATCAATCTAAAGAGCAAGGTCACGTGTAAAGTCGGAACTGCTGTTTCAAAGTTGATTACAAAAAATGCTGATTTTAAAACGACGGATCAAACGACAGTTTAAGATTTTAAATAGCAGAGCTTGATTAATGATTATACGGATCTTCTTAACGGATTATAGTACGTGTACGACTCGAGAGAGCAAAAACATTTCATCCCAACCTGTTATTATTTTTAATAATTATGTAATGCTGCCAGTCCCATCTTTAAAGAGCATGATATTGGAATTAATAATATTTGCTGGTGATAAACTATAAATAGGTGTGACCTAACCTCTCACTGGCAATGGTCACGTGTACCTCAAAGTATCTCGCGTGACAGAAAAAGACGAATCAAGTGTAACAGAATCAGATAGGTCGAGTAAAATGGTGACTGCTGTCGGGCACAATAAATTAACTGATTATTTATTACCAGCGACGCTACATAATCTGATGATCGTGAAAGCCGATTCAATAAGCCGTTTCAATAAGTCGTTTCAATAAGCCGTTTCAATAAGCCGTTTCAATAAGCTCAACATAAGACAGTTCATTACATTAGTCGCTGATTATACTTGGCTACGAACGAACGAACACAGATCAATGCATGGTATTACATTAAACTACTCACTGTACGAAGAACAGTAGTCGAGTAGTAGAGAGTGTGTGCTTTCTGTCGATCCTTTTCTCACTTTTTCTTGGTGTTCTTTCGCGGTAGGATGCGCCTCAGCTCCTTTTTATTGTTCAAATAACTGTCTCGTTAACAACAGTTTGCTATTCTTGATGATACTTATACATTCGTCAGAACTTTTCGTGCTAATCTGAATTGTGTTTTGTAAAAATCAGCGATTTACTGATATGATGAAAGTTATTTATTTATTGCATGATATCTTAGTTTTCATAACATACACGCAAGTAGTAGCAACAATTTTGCTACTATCCTATTTAATAAGATACATTCGAGGAAATGTAGAATATGTTGACAATTTTGATTTGAAGCAGAAATACAAAAGGTGATACAAGCCTATAAATGATTTGTGAATGAGTTAGAATACCTAGATTGAATAAAAATGTGAGGCTAAGCAAATATAAATACTGTCTGATATACAAGTACGGACAGAATAATGCAGTAGTAAAAACGGAAATAAAAACATAACCCGATTGCATGAAAAATACGAACCGATTGCATGAAATAAAATATAGATTTGAAAATTAAAAAAAGCAGACTAGCTGGTACTTTCAACAAGAACCAACACGTCTCAGCTTCTCATCCTCACTGAACCTCAAAATGTTTATAACCCCGGCATCGTTTGCAGCACACAGCTTGTCTCCAGCAGTCACTACAGCGCTGATGTGTCTCACCTGACCGTTTCCAGTAGGATTTCCCAGGAGACTTGTTGGTTTGGGAAACTGGTGAGTCATTACTGGTTTGGAGAGGGCTTCGTGGTAGAGATAGATTGAGTTGTTTTCACTACCGCATATTATGTGCTCTCCAATCATGTCTAGACCTATGAATTTCACGGTGTTTTGGTGCCCCTTGTAGGTTTTGATGCACTGGGAACTTTCGAAGGCCCACTGTCTCAGTGTCCCGTCCACTGAAGCTGATATGAGTGTCTTGCTGTCGAGGAACTTTAGTTGAAACACGGATTTAGCGTGTCCAGATAGCGTTTTACCGGTTTATCTGGTTTTCTGATGTCATAAGAGTAAATATTTCTATCAATGGAAGATACCGCAAAGTGGTAAGGAGAGTGAGGTTTACAAGACAAGTTAAGCAGTTTATCAGGAGCTCGTATACTCATCACACTCCCCCTCTCGTTCAACCTCCACACTCTGACCTGAGCGGAGTCGTACGCCGCAGAGAGGAGTTGTTGAGGTTTGGTTGGACTCCAGGAGACGTGGAGGTACTTGCTGGCGGTGTGGCCGTGGAAGGTGTTGGTAGCCACCTTCCCAACTACATCCCAGATCTTAACCTCACTGTTGTAGTCTCCTACTGCTAGCAAGTTTGGGGAACAGGGGTTCCAGGCGGAGGACCAGGTAAAGGAGTTAGAAGGGAGCTTTGTGATGGGGTAGACTATTGGTAGAGGGCTGTCTTCAACAGCAGGATTGTAGATGTTCACTGTCTTCAGCGTTCCCGCCACAGATAACATTCCGGAGATACCTACTGCCATTCCGTACACGTAGGTTCTGGTGGAAGGAGTCTCAGCTACAACTATTTTACCCACCTCAACCAATGATTCGTATTTGAAAGCATTGTAGATTAGCTGGCCGATGGATTGGTATTTAGACTTGGTCAAAAAGTAATTAGTTTCTAGGTCAGGGAAGTTTTTAAGCATGTTTGCGTAGTTGTTTGAAATCTGTTCCGTTTTCGGAAATTTAATACAATCTGTGTTTTTCGGGGTGGATTTCAACTCGCCTTCCTGGGCAGGCATATTGACATCTATAAATGCAGTGGTCATAGAACAAATTTCCTCTTTTACCACTTTCAACTCAGCCTTCAGCTTATCCAACTTTACCAACTTCTGGTTTTTACATTCATTCAGGAACTCAAGTGCCATCTTCTTAATCTCCCGCTCTTTTGATGTAAGCAGCTTCTCCTTTTCCCGTTTCAATCTCTCCAGCTCCATCTCGATATCAGCAAGCGAATCTTTAACTGTAATTTTTGTAGGTGGTCGTGATAATATTGCGCACGAAGGAAGCTGACATATCAGTGGCCTTTCTGGAGATCCTTTAGAGCATTCACCACAGAATACATGACCACAAGATAATTTTAGAAAAAGTTCTGGTTTCAGTATCTTCAGTAAACAGTTCCCACAGTGCTCTGAGGAGGTGGTTGCTAGGTGAGTTGCTAGGTGATTTGAGGAGGTGGAGGGGAGGCTACTCATGGACACGTCATTGATGCCCAGAGACATGATTCCTAGTGATAGTGGTGTGTGATAAAGGTGATATAGGTGTGATAAAGGTGTCTAATAAAGGTGTGATTACTGACAATGATGATAAACGAGGGTAAACTAGCTAGCAAGGTCACAGGATTGCTTCTACGCTAATATCTGAGTATGTGGGGGAAATGTGACGTCCTAGTTAAGTCGGAGAACAAAATAGATTTTTCTCAGTTCGTCTAAACGAAGATTTGTAGCGAAACGTTTGTGAAATAATCAGAGGAGAAAAAGTTATTTTCCTTTATTCTAAATTCAATACGTTATCTAATTGTTTGCCAATTTCGATTTCACCATAGTCTTTTTTGCGTTAAAATTATTATCCTTTGAAGAGCTGGTGTCAATTCAAACCAATATCTGGCCAGTGCGGAACACTCATGGTCTACTATATATGCGATAATCTTCAATTCTTTTGAAACGTTTCATGTATCAAATGCGGAAAACGGATAAGAGTCATCTATACTCTATAGACACGACCTCTTGCAAGCTTAGTAAGTGTACCGATTCATAACGATACTGGAAGTGGAAACTTCTGGGGTTTACAATTAGTTATCGTTCTGCATCATTAAATATAGGAAAATGAAGACCTTACAGTTTTCCGTAAGGGCTGCGATCACCCTCGGATTGCAGGCCTACCGAGTACCGCCCAGGTTTTTTTGACCATGTCGAGATGGAAAAGGTGCAGGAGACCACCTACTCCACAATTGCATCTAATACAAATGCAATATAACTCTTGAGTGGTCTGCTGTACCAATGGGTATAGTTTCTGAGCAATTACCGAATTAAGATTGCTTGTACTCCAATATCCGATTATGTGGGTTAAATGTGACGTCCTAATATGAGAGGGTCAATCATATTGAAATGAAGGCGAGTAAAACATTTTTTCTCGGTCTACTGAGTCCTGACGAAGCTTTGTAGCAAAACGTCGGCTATGAGTGATACAATAAAGTTATGAGAGGACAATGTCATTTTACTTTCTCTCATTTTACTATAATTTCTGGTTAGCTGAGTGTTCGCCAATTTTCAATGGTTGGAGAGGTAAAACCAATTTCACAATAGTTTTTTGCCTGTATGGATAAATTATACCTCGCCGAGATAAGTAAAGCAAATTAATTATGGCATTATATGATATAAGAATTGAAGCCATTTAACCATGGAAAAATGGAAAAATAAGCAAAAACCCAAAATACTACTACTAGTGAGACGGTCGCTCGCCTAACCCTCTACCAATACGCTACCAGGATAAGTACAGACCTATAATGACCTATCTTACAGTGACCACACCCTCTCATGATGAATAAGGCCCACTCCACTTCCCGGGACTCTCGCCGTTCATCACAACCCAGGGATATGGACCTGTAAATTAATCAATACTCCCTTTTACTGAGTGTGATATCTATGCACTATCTTGTGACTGTTTACCGACTGTGCCCCATTACGATTGACCTATTGATCTCATTTGCATTGACTTGTGAAGCCGCTAAAAACACGATTGGCGGCTGAACAAAGGGGAAAGCAGGAGCTATAATTCTCGCCTTTTCCATTAGTAATAGCGCTATAGTGAGAATTGTCGCCGAATAGAGCCGACAATTATGTTAGGTTTGCTGAGTGCTTGAAATCAAGTGGTTTGGGTAGTCATTACTTCGGCGTATTATCCCCCTGCTCGATTGGTAAGTGGTTTGTGTAGTCATTAATTCCCCTGCTCGATTCGTAAGTGGTTTGGGTAGTCATTAATTCCCCTGCTCGATTCGTAAGTGGTTTGGGTAGTCATTACTTCGGCGTATTATCGCCCTGCTCGATTGCTTATGGTCTTGCCTCTTATTATATCAGTATAGCACCCATTGATTTTATTGAAACAACTCGTTCTGTATTGTAATCATTATAGTTCTCCCCTCGTCTTCTCACGTGCGAAACCTGATGACAGTATTATAAGTACTTCTCAATTTACGCGAATATATTTGATGACAGAATCATAAGTACTTCTTAATCTATGTGAATGTATTTTCAACAAGTACTTAGTAAGTAATAATAATAATAGATAGTACATAACACTGACAGATAACACGAATTTAATTAGTGATTACATTAGAACGTTTTATCTAACGCCTTCCCATCAGCTCTGTATGAATGAGGAGCTCGTGTTAAACTGTAACTTGGACATCAAGGAGGGAAAAAGGAAGCATGAAGAAAACAAAATATCGATTAGCTATTCCGCAAAAACCAAGTATTGTGCAAAATTGTTTGTACTCACTAGTCACTTCGACAGATAGCAGAAATAGAGTATAAATAGGCTTGCTGACATGGTAAATAAGATGGTAACTCGATTAGGCCAATCAAGATCGACTGAACGGCTCAGGCTCTCATCTAGCGCTGAAGGATGATGATCAATACTGCAATACTATTAATACTGCTAATATTGCAATATTGCAATAAATCTTCATTAACATTCAATATAATAAAGTTACTAGGCACCTGGTGCCTGAGGCACCAGCAATAATCGTAAATTGCCTACAACTGGCATGTTTCTATCGTAAAGAAGGTGAATAAGTCAACTACCGGGATTGTTCAGCACTACTTCTACTTTCTGTATTAAACATGTCTAGTGGGAGGCGCGTTATCGTTGTGAAGTAGGTACTGCACTGTGAATGAATCGGTTCGATTAGTTGTGGGTAGAGCTATGATTGTATCAACCATGTGTATAAGCACATATTTGAATGGACTCGATTCTGTGTGATATTCTGTGTGATATTGTTAACAATACCGTCGCGTGAGCTTGCTATCAGTAACGTAAGGAGTTATGACCTCCTTACGTTACTGAAATTCGGCCTTCTTTGAGATTTCCGTTAACGGAACCTAAAGTTATCCGATGATTATTATTTATTTTGTGAACACCATTGTACTGATCTATGTGATTAATAAAAGGAGTTGTGGTGGGAGTGGTGATAACTGGTTACCAGGGTTACTCACTGGTTACCAGGGTTACTAACTGGTTACCAGGGTTACTAACTGGTTACCAGGGTTATTAACTGGTTACCAGGGTTACTAACTGGTTACCAGGGTTACTAACTGGTTACCAGGGTAACTAACTGGTTACCAGGGTTACTAACTGGTTACCAGGGTTAATAACTGGTTACCATGGTTACTAACTGGTTACCAGGGTTACTTACTGGTTACCAGGGTTACTACTGGTTACCAGGGTTACTAACTGGTTACCAGGGTTACTACTGGTTACCAGGGTTACTAACTGGTTACCAGGGTTACTAACTGGTTACCAGGGTTACTTACTGGTTACCAGGGTTACTACTGGTTACCAGGGTTACTAACTGGTTACCAGGGTAACTAACTGGTTACCAGGGTTACTAACTGGTTACCAGGGTTACTAACTGGTTACCAGGGTTACTAACTGGTTACCAGGGTTACTTACTGGTTACCAAGGTTACTTACTGGTTACCAAGGTGACTACCGGTTACCAGGGTTACTAACTGGTTACCAGGGTAACTAACTGGTTACCAGGGTTACTAACTGGTTACCTGGGTTACTAACTGGTTACCATGGTTACTAACTGGTTAACAGGGTTACTTACTGGTTACCAGGGTTACTAACTGGTTTCCAGGGTTACTAACTGGTTACCAGGGTTACTGACTGGTTACCAGGGTTACTAACTGGTTACCAGGGTTACTTACTGGTTACCAGGGTAACTACTGGTTACCAGGGTTACTAACTGGTTACCAAGGTGACTACCGGTTACCAGGGTTACTAACTGGTTACCAGGGCTACTAAACAGTTACTGATCTAGGTGATTAATAATGGGAGTCGTAGTGGGAGTGGTGATAACGATAGCTGTCCTGATAATTGTCCTCAATGTTCTAATGGCGATGCATCTTAAGAAGGTACCGTTGACATAAACTTTTAAAAACTTCTTTCAAAATGAAGAAACATAATGATGTATCAAGCCGACCCCAAAGAGTGAATGTTAACACCAATATATTATTACAATTACTGAAGGTCTCAAATAACTTCCTTGACCCAGGCGAGAAAGGGAATTGCACGGATGTTACTCAGCTTCCTGGCTGTGTACGACCTATGTATTGGTACCATCATCTTACCCATGAGAATATCCTCTCTGATAATGGATACTCGGGAGAACAACTGGCCACTCGGCAAGGTAGGTACACTCCTTATATGGGGATCACGTGGCGTACCACTCTGTGACACTGATCAACAGAGAAAAATAACTAGGAGGGGCATACATTTTGACCTAAAAGAGGGGCATTCTAGCCCTAAATGAAGCTTCGGGTCTTAGAGTTTACATTTTTAGTCAGCCATTTTCATGAATACCAGTACATTATTAGCCCCCCTCCCTCTTCCTACACCCCTGTAACCTATAATAACCCCTGTAACCTATAATAACTCAATACGCAATTAGAAAACTCAAATAATAGTGCCAACGGTGAACGGTTGACTTTGAAAGTAATACCAGTGCCACCGGCGAACATTTTTGGGGAAATTAGTTGATTTAAACAGTTTTACTTTATTGAGCTTCAGAGGGATAAATACCGATGCCCCTTCAAAAGAGGGGCATTAGGCCCAACGAGGGCCGTTTAGAGGGGCACCCCTCGAAAGAGGGGCATGTTGGTCACTCTGCTTTGTGTAGGTAATAAAATAACAAATATAATCGTACGATCGAACTATTCGAACAAAATAAAAGGGGTTTCAATAGCGATTAGATTTCTAGACAAATCTTTTATACTGATAGCCTAAATTAACGTTTAATTAACAGTTAAGTAAATCATTATCCGAATCGAAATGAAAACAAAGTGTATTCAATGATGAGTACAGCTGACTTCCTGACCAGTCTGTGTGGTGAATAGACAAACAGGATTGTGCGAGCGAAGAATTAGAACAAATGAAAATCAGGGAATTTAGATTATATATATTTCATATCAATAGCTTTAATTAAGGTCCATTTGAACATCCATTATTAACATGATTAAGGCAAATCAGTATTCGAATTTGTTGAAAGCCATGCAGTTCATTCTAAAGTCCAAACATCGCTCCATTTAATAATGAACAATGACAAAAAAAATTGTCTGGAACTCTCCTGAGTCCTAAATGGCTTAATTCATATAAGCTATGACTCTACTTTGTGATGATAACAGTCGGACGAATATGTGGAAGGATTGTTAGTTAATTACTAAATTTATAAAGCTAACTAAATATATAAAATTAAACAACAATAAAACTAACTGACCCTTACAGAAATCTTGGCATGGTGAACCTAATCTAATAATTATAATTGTATGATTTATAATATTATTTCAACTGGTTACCAGGGTAACTAACTGGTTACCAGGGTCACTAACTGGTAACCAGGGTTAAGATTAACTATACAATGAAGTTAGCGTACCTGGACTTAGAGTTCATTAATAACCTGGAGCTATTGTGCTATTATTTTTAGAAGGCCACTCCCAGAAGCAAGGACTGGTTAAGATTATAAAATCCAAACTACAAAACAAAAGTTTTTATGCTAAAACTTTTGCATTTGGGTGTGTTAAAACCTTCGCTGGGGTGCTAAAATCTCCTTTATTACATTTGAGGTGTTAAAATATTTGTATATCACATTTGGGGTGCTAAAAATTGTTAAAAATACAGCTGGGATGCTAAAATCTCTTTGAACCACATTTAGGATACTAAAATCTTTTGAAATAACATTTGGCCTCGGGGTACTACTATCTATTGAGTTAACATTTAGAGTCTATAATCTCTTTAAACCACATTTAGGATAATTTCTTACATTACAGCTGGGTTGTGTGCTCTACGGGATATCTACCAGTCTGGTGATAAGAAGTACAATGTGGACTATAGTCCTACTAGCAGTGGACAGAGTAGCGGCCGTTCTCGCACCTTTCTTCTACGCAACCAGAGTCAAGGTCTGGTACGGAAAAGCAGCCGGAGCGGCGGTTGTCTTCTACTCGTCCATCATGGTAGTTATCATGAACACAACAACCAATCAGGTAACAGTTTTATCTAAATGTTGCAAAACAACAACTACTTAAGAACTTCTAGGTCGGAACTAAACAACTATTACAATATCTATAGGTGGGAACTAAACCCGGTTTCAAAAACTGCAAAACTGTCACAAATAATTGTAGCTGAATGAATCGTGGCGTTTAAGAATGGCCGAGGTGAACGGATTTTTAACAAATTAGAAGGCGATATTGTGTATAGACTTATTAGACATAGTAACAGCAGCAAACGCCCGCCCATGATTGATTTGGATTAGCCACTTTCTTTTCTTAGAATCGCTTTCTCTGGACTTCAATTTCAATGTTAATGAGGTGGGAATTGACACGAACCGTACTCAAAAGGGCTAATGTGTTTGCAGGAGCCAAGCCAGTCAACTGAGCGGGAAAATAAAAATTAGTCCGTTAAATCGGGTTCTCAAACATCAATGTATATCGAACTACTGTTTTCACAGGGCAGTGTGCTCTCAATTATATTAGTCGTTCACACACCAATAAGTTTGCATGTATTGCTGTCATTACCGGCAAGTGGAAGCGGCTCAGTCTTCGAGGCTCTCAGAGTATCAGCGCTTCGAAACAATAAAGAAAATGTAATTTTAACAAAAAGTTGAAAGAGAACTAAGATGAAATCCTCAAACCAGTAAAACCTACATCCGGACCTGCTTTGAGAGGACCTTTAGCCTTATGCACTCAACAGGTCATACTTGAACCTCCCACTTCTCAGTCCATACTCTCACATTGAAACTAACAACATAGCTAACTACTTAACATATATATATTAAAGCTGAAAATAAATAAGCAGTAGAATAAAGATATCCTGATTTTCTGCTGAAGATGATTATTCAAGCTAATCCAACTGTAAACCACTGATTAAAAAGTCATATTCAAACTAGTTTAAACTTGATTAACATAATTGTTCAAATAGTTTCAGTACATAGAAAGAGACGGCCACAAAATCTGTCTCCAGTCCTTCAGATTTGTATATGCCAGCAACACCCAACACTTCTTTCTAATCCACAGGTTTCCCAACTTTCTCCCACTCCCCCGCTTTGAGCTTACTTTATTTCCTCGGCACCTTACTTAGTAATGAATGACTGAAATACTTTAAATTCCCACCTTTTATAAAAGCTTAAAAAGAGATTAACACGGAATTTCGCAGACTAGTCGAGTTTTTGGCAGCTAACCTTGCAGTTATGGTGCTCAGTTTTGCAACCGTTTTCAGACTACTCAGAAGGAAGGTGAGTTACAATTAAATATTTGACTGCTTATATGGCCATCACGTGGTGTTTTCAGACTATTTAGAAGGGGGTTGGGTAAAGAATTTACAATTATTTAAGTCTTCTATTAGTTTAACTATAAGTTAAAATCTGTCTAGTTTATTGCCATTTTACTTTTAGTTTCGACTTAGTTATATTAGTTGGAGTGCATGTTCAAGGTATTTATGTGAACCTGTTGAGATACTGTGACATGTTAAGGCATTGTGACATGCTCTAAATCTGTATATGGCACCAGCAGGATGGCGTTATAAATCAACAGCTTTTTTATTTGTCACTTTATTGCAATACAAAGTTTCCGATTTGAAATCTTTTCATTCCAAACTGAAATCGTTTCAGGCAAATAGGTACAATTCCGACCGGCTATTAGCCGACTAGTAGCCGGTTGTTACGGTCCAGTCCTCTAACAGGCGGCTAATAGCCGGTTAATTATAGCCGGTCGGCATTATACTATTATACATACTTATGTTATAGGTATTTGCGATCTTTTCATTCCAAACCACACAAATGATAAAGCTGTCCTCTTAAACAGCGAGACTAGTTGTACCCACACGATCAAACTCAAGTTTCTAACAGATGAACAATCAATTAAATAATAATTAAATAATAATCTCAATAACTTCAGAGAAAGAAGGGTCAAGGACAAAGAATTATGCGGAGAGTTGAGCAGAATTTGACCTGCATGGTAATATCACTCCTACTGGCTTTCCTGGTCTGCTACTTACCCTTTACTTTCTACCTTTCTATCACTATGATGTGAGATAATACGTCAGAGTTAGATAATGCTGAGGCCTTCATAGTTCTAGGCTTATTTAAATCATGTAAAAATAGATAATATTTGTTGTGAGAGATTTAAAATCGTCACTATAAAAGCTAAAACAAAAGACTTCAACGCTTACCAAATACAAAACAGCATTAGCTAGAATAGAATAGTAGTATACTAGAATGGTAGTATAAAACCAAACACATTCTTCACTCTAATCAAGATAGCACAAATAATGAAATTTCACTATCGTCGTCACACCACTAACCTTATAATAAGGCTCTCAGAGTGCAAATAATAGAAATGTATACTCAATCTTGTCACACCTAATACCACATAATGAATATTTGTCAGAATACTCCAATTATAAAATATTGTCTTCAGACCAAACCGAATAATAGAGGTGGGGAACGATTCGGAATTAAGAATAGGACAAGCTGTGATGACTCTACTGACAATAAATAATCTTCTTAACCCTCTTGTCTTCCTATGCTTTACTGCCAGGTTAGTTCAAGATTGATGTGCCGTTCACCAGAAGAAAAATGCAAGCGTTGATAAAACTTAAAGGACCAGTTAACTGAAAAAAAAGTTATCCTCATATTTTGACAGATTGTGACAAATAGCAAACTAAGCAACGAGTCGAAATTCCTAAATCTCTAACTGCTCTCTAACGCGTGTAAATAGCGTTTGTATTATTTTGGCGATGACGTCATAAAGTCCCTCTTGCGCGCAGAGTAGCTCGTGAGACTGTATTTTACAGGTAAAAAATGGACATAATACAATCTTTTCCCCCGAATAACTCGAAAAGTAAGTAATTTAGGGTACATGTTGCTTCATAAGTTGTATATAAACATGGCCATTCTGCACAATTTGCACACATTCAAAAACCTTTAGGGCCTTCATAGCCCAATTAACCAGATACCCATAGTTTTGCATGATTTCTGGAACCGAAAATCAGTTTTTCGCCAATAACTGAAAAAGTAAGCACTTTAAGGCATATGTTTGTTCGTAAGTCATATATTAATATGCTAATTGCGGTTCTTTTGCATCCTGTCTGAAGACTCCATCACGATCATATCGAAAATGGGCTTAGCACCACGCCCAAAATGGTTTTTGGCGAATTTATCGAAAAGTAAGGATTTTAGGCCATGTGTTGCTCAATAACTCCTATATAAACATGCATATGCGGCTTCGTTCAAGCCTATTTTGAAGTCTCTACGACCTTCAGAAGCAAGGGGTCGGTTACGTTATTGGGTCAATAATGGCGTGGCCCTCCTGGGTTTTCTCCACGGTCAAAAAAATGTCTCCAAACGAAAATCGTTTAATCATAACTTCGGGAAGGTCTGTGCAAAGTTTCGTGAGTATTAGAACATTTGCAGGTTCATTTCCATAAATGTCCATAAATGACTGGACTACACATTACACAACTTTAGAGTTAACTTTAGAGAAACTCATAGTCATTTATCTCAAATTAAGCTGTTAGTGTCCATGATCAACCTCTGGCGACAATGTTTTACGTGAAATGTAAAAATCAGGAGTAATATAAAAAAGGTATTTTTAGATTAAAGTGCTAGCTCATAGTTTTAGAATTGTATAGATTAACGTTGGGCATTTAGCCATCTAACAATCGATCGTGCCGTAATATATGGCCAGAGAATAATAGGGTCTTGGAAATTCTATAGTTGTTCAGTGGGTCGATCGACTGAACACGTTTGCACTTGGTATTTAAACTTACCAGTAGTTTATTTATGTTATGCACCGATGATAATGCAATTAGGATAACAACTAGGTAAGCCGGAAGTCTAATTCAAAACACACCTCACACCGTACACACCTCCAATCAGTAATTTTACTATTTGGTAGACCGGGTATTTTGGCGGGAATTCTGTTCCCACGGCACTGTTTTGATAGAAGCTACTTCTACTAATGGTCCCAGAGGAACGGTCGTAAAGTAGCCAGACTTCTTGTCTCCTGTACTGGCAGACACTTGCAGATTAAAGTTAGAAATTTCGCTATGCTATAAATATAATTGCTCTCGGAATTGAACAAACTCCTACTTATAATTTATAACTTATCTGTATCCTTTCTAAATTCGTTAGAGTTTCATGGACTGGGGAAAAATAATCGGTACAGTCTCCCTGCTTGTGTAATTAAGCAATGAAAACAATCCAAAATTATCACATATGCTAGTCCCCTGCTACACGGCATGTAAACAGGGCTTGGCTAGTTAGAGGCCGTCCGTGTAGGCCTTACATTGTGCTTTCAGCAATACTCATAAGTTGTAATAGCAGAAACTTTCTAACCGTACATTCACCCGCCACTGTTCAAGAACCTATATCACTGTTTAAAATCATGACGTGAGCACTGTACATCCAATCAGCTATTCCTTTAGTTAGGATGATAGCCAAAACTATAAGGATTTTGGAGAACTAGGGTAATAGTCATAATTCTAAAATTTGAGTGAGTTACACGTGTTTTATTGACGATGATAAACATTTGTAATGTAAATTACGCTATGCAAGCGCGCACTGAGGGACTTTATGACGTCACGAGGCCACAGCTTATTATTGCAATAACACGCGTTACACGTACGCTAGAGAGTTGGTTCTTTCGGCGATACGATTCTTTACCAGTTTGTCACAGCTGATTTAAATCTTAGCCAAATTAGAGACTACAAATTTTTCAGTTAACTGGTCCTTTAAACTTCGAAAAACTGTGCCCTCTAATAAACAAGCACCTGACGCATTCACCATACAATCAACTAAATTCTATTTCAACTACGACTTTGTACGACAGAAGTTCGGGCATTCGCCTCACGCAAATTAATGTTATGAAGGAGCAAGCCTGTGTCGCGTTGTATTGGCTAAGTGGGTAAAATAATTGTACAATTAATTTACCCACTTTCGTAAGAAGAGAAATAAAATAGACCAGGTCAACTATACTTATCACATAACAAAACAGCTAAACCACAAAGAAGTTTCATAGGTAGCTAGGATAAGGAAATAATTTACAGCTTGTTGCCAAGGGTCAGCCAGCAAGTTTGGCTTTCATCGCTCTTAGTCACATCCCATCAACACGACCTCGCAGAGCTATAAAATTGGGAGGCAGCTAACTTTAAACAAGCAGCCAAGCTGTTAAGAACCAAAAACTTGGGTGAAACGTGTATTTTTGAACGAGTGACTGGTTGGATTTCAAGAGGCATATCAAAATTGAGACTAGTTGTTGAGTAACTGAGATAATAATATATAGCTCCCTGCATTGAAGACTTGCTCAGCCTGGCCACACATGTGAGAATTTATTATTGAACCAAACCGGAAAGCAAACTGTTGGGACTGTTCTACCGTGATCTGACAAAGGTTTAAACTACCCATATAGTCGGGTGACCAATGACCGTAGACCATATACCGGAAGTTTCTAGACAGGGCATCAACAGTGTTGATTCAGCAACCCCTCTGAGGAACATGATCTGACAGTAAAAGTTCTTTACAATGTTCCTTGTTTGATATTTATATAACTTTAATAACTAATGCTATACGTCCACAACGATATTCTACTAAGCAGTAAGAATTTATTGCAACAGATATTATTATCTTCAAACCCCAGAATCGTCAGGGAAGCAAAGAAGGCGGGAACAAAGCGACGTTCAGCACTAGTAAAACTGGTCCAGACCCGCTCAGTAGCAGTACGGCGCTCAGTAACTCAGTCGCTCAACACTGGTCCCCCTAAAGTGTGTCCCAGTGAACAGGACGGGGGAACCTGAACTCGGGGCCAGAGCATTTTCAATACAATTATTCAATTAAAGACTCGGAGGTCGATGTGTTTATACTATTGTGATGCGTTTTGACAATGACAAATGATTTTCAGCGGTATCACAAGAACGCCTTGGAATGATCAGACGTTATACTATTATAGAGGTTAAATGCTATATTATTATAATACTTCACTATATTATTTAGGACCAGTTTACTGAATATTTACCGATGCATCAACATTTTGTTAGTAGTGTTAACTTTGAGTATTACATCTCTACAGGAACTCCTGAGCTAGTAATTTTGTGACCTGTTAGTGTTACTCTACATCACTAATTACTAACAGTCACAGAGCGTCTATAAATGTTATTGTTCTAGCAATGGAACGACTAGACATTTTAATTTATTCCACATATTCTTTTACGCTGTTTATAAAAATGATTTTATCAATCCATCGACAATCATGGACATTATAAATACTCTGATTGGCATTACGATTTTATTTTATATATATAAGTTTAGATTGTTTATGACCATAATATTATCTACCTATAATATAAGTACGGTAGCGATGACAATTTTATCATGAATCATGCCCATTGACCACCCATCACCGTTTCTGATAACTTAGAACTTTATAATATATCTTGTAATACCCTCGTGTCCTGTACCCGCTACGGTGATATTAAATAATAAAATGTAACGTTTAATGTTAATGTAGCACATGCTTACCATTTCTTAAACGGGCTATTGACAGATAACGTCAACAATTTTGTAATGCCTGCAAAGTAGCTTAGCTCTACTGCGATCAAGATTACTTCTATTGGTATTGCTGACTGCTGAGTATGGACAAGCAAAAATTTATACATACAGATTTCTGTCTGGAGGATTATAATGGAAACTCCGTAACTCTATTTATAGAGTTACGAAGTTTCCAGTATAATGCCCACTTTATGAAGTAAAGTGGGCATTACTCGAAATAAACAAATAAACCACCCACCTGGCCCACCATTGAAGTGCCCGTCATTACCTGATGATGGCCCCTAATTTTAAAATTACTCGCCTACTGAGTTGCCCGGTGCGGCGGAGCACCCATAGAACAGAGTATTAGGTAACGTCAAATCTTAAGCAAAATGTTACTATATATATAATATTGGTCGAAAGAACTATTTAAAAGCTGCAATGCACCATAATTATAAAGGTAAATTTAACTAACGTCGTGCTGCGAATGATCGGGATTCGGCAAAT